AGTGAGTCTATAGTCCGTTTTCGGTCCTCAATTCCTATGCCGGCTTGGACGCGGTGATCTCGGCGTCTTTACTCTGCCGCCATCTTCCGGAAGTCTCAGAAACGGTTTTTACCCAGAATGCAATAAGATGATTCTTTCTCCATCTGCCTTCACCAGTCCAGGGTCAAAAAAACAAGCCCGGTTTCTTCATCACATGCTCCCTGATCCACGTGGCTTCCTCAGGTCTCCTTCCGGCTCTCTATCCTCGCACTTTTTTTTTTTAACCTTGCCATTGCCTATCTCTGACTTAACACTTTCTTTTGATTCCTAAGACCTTCAAATTACTTGTTTCCAACATTTTTCTCCTGTAACCTCACACCTCACTGTATTAGCATTTTAAATCATGACAGATTATATCTTGATTTTTCGGCTAAAGACATGAAGGCATTTACTGGGAGAAGAATATCCCTTTCCTAAGGGGAAAAATGGAGTGGATTTTTTTTTTGTTGTTGTTGTTGTTTGTTTGTTTGTAAAGAGAATTTGATTGTGGAGCAGCCAAGTATGGAAGTTACTAGGGGAGAGAAAATGCAATGTAGAGGAGATCTTGGGGAGAGTGTGTGAGTACTGGACCTGAGAGGATTGCTGATCGACTGTTTTGGTAAGTGGGCCACTGGACCTTGTGTGTCACTTCTGTTTGGAGAGAGGAATCCAAGGGCCTGGACCCATGGGTGAAGAGGTAGGAGGGCTGCTTGTTTTTGTGGAAAGCTAGAGTGACAGAATTCAGAGCCTTTTGAAGCAGTAAATGTGGGTAGATGAGGCCTTGGAGGCCAAGGGTTTGTGAAGGTCACCTGGGTAGCCTTGTTAGAGATTTTGTTTTGAGAGAGAAGATGGAAATAAAGATCCAAAAGATGAAGCAGCTGAGAGTCCAGAGGAGGTTTTCTGCATCTGAAGGATATTGTAACGAGTGTGGAGACATTTTTAAGTGTGACATTGACAGGGGTGTTGGGTGACTACCCAGGGGTGACTTCTAGAAAGATCTGATGGCGCAAACAAGTCTGGTAGCAAACAGGGTAAGAGAAAAACAGCAGGGAAAGGAATGCAGTGGGTATGGAATTGGGTGTGGGAGTGATGTAAGAAAGAGATGTATGAAGCTGGCACAGAAGGTTTATTTATTTTTTTCCCAGAATATGTATAGGTTAAAATGGAAGAACAAGGAAGGAGTGTGTAAAAGAGAAGTTGAACAATGCACATGAGATTATTCCCCGTGTGTGTGGATGTTCTGGCCA